ACCACGCCCGGCAGGATACTTATTCTTTATATCTGAGGTCTGTAAACTGCTGCCCTACAAGGCGCAGGCTGAAGGGGACCCTGCTGTGCCTCCTTCCTCTTGTCTCCTTCACCACAACCACCGGATCAGCCCCTCGGTGTGTTTGCTATTCAGATTTCATTTAAAGAAGAGGTTCTGATGGCAACGCATGTGCAAACTTGTCTACATGCTCCACACTCATTACACACACATTAACTGTCAACTGATGACATTCATTTGATTGTGTGCTATCTTACATTTTTCTCGTATTCCTGACGCTTCATGTTAAGATAGTTTCCAGGCACGTCACTAAGTCCCTAGCTATGCTGCTCTGAGACCATCTTAATAGTAAGGAGTACTGTTTGAACATTAGTATAAAGTACATACTATCACCTTGAACTTCTGGTCTCAAGCAGTCCTCCCTCCTCAGCCTCCCAAGTAGCTGGGACGACAGGAATGTGTCACTACACCTGGATAATTAAAAACAAAACAAAACAAAAAAAATGAAACTTTTTTTGTGTGTGGAGACAGGGTCTTGGTTTGTTGCTCAGGCTACTCCTGAACTCCTGGCATCAAGTGATCTTCCCACTTGGGCCTCCCAGTGTTGGAATTACAGGCATCAGCCACTGTGCCCAGCCTAGAAGAATTTTATAGGATGAAGAAAAGAGAGGTAAGATGGCTATTCATCCAAGAGAGAGATATTCTTAATATAGGAACTAGGAAGTCACTACTTCACTTTTGCCATTAGAAAGCAGATATAGCTCTTGTGATATAATGCCTGTTTGCTGGCACCTTTCAGGAAGTGCACTAAGCCATAGAGGAGGAAAGCAGTCCCTTGGCTTCCATCTGTTGGATGCATGTGGTGTGTGTTGCACACGTGGCAGAGCCATGGGCATCTTGTTAGCTGTTGAGCTTTGGGATCCATTTTGATTGCTTCTCCCGAATAAGGCAGGATGCATTCCATTTACATGGATGCAAACATTCCATTGTCTTCTATTGCTCAATACTTTATTCCCACTGATGATATCAATCATGTTACTGTGTTTAGTTGTATGTACTTCTGTTAGAGTTCCTTCAGGGCCAGGCCTGTGCATTATTTATCTTTGCATCTCAAGTACCTGGCATATGTTTAGCACACAATAAAATAAAAATTAGATGGGAACTGGAATATATATGAGGTTAGATCTCACAAGTCCCCTGCTCTACCAGTTACTGTATGTTTAGTTATTCAGTCAACAAGTATTTGAGAGCTTTCTATGTGTGAGGTAGTACACTATGTACTGCTGATATAACTTCCAAATGGGCTGTAATTCAGCATGAACAGGCTGTAATTCAGCATAAATGGGCTGTAATTCAGCAAAGAGCCAAAGCTGTTATGATTGAGCAGGAACCACCAGCCTCGTAATGGAAAGGGCTTCTTAGGGAACATGTGCTTTCCTCTCTTCTAAAAAGTAACCTGTAGGGCCCAAAACTTTATTTCCCTCCTCTCACTCTAGGGCTAGGAAGAAAAAGGTAGAAGGCCCATGACATCCTCAGGTCCCGCCCTTATCACACTCAACAGAATATCATAATGAGAACCAAATAATAAACTTTAATTTGAATGTAATACAGTAGAATAATTATTTCGAGGTATAAAAATAATTATAAAAGATATTTTTTCCCATTTACAAGTAATGTTTGCTACAGATTATAAATAGTACACTGACGCTATAAACCGTACATATTTCACCACATGCCTAAGTCTGGGTCTTCCTCTCTCCTCTATCATCACAGGATAAGAAAACCAGCTGTGCAATACTACTTTGCAATCTTGAAACTCTGTTAAGACATTTCAGAAGTAGCTATCTTTAATAAGAGAATTATATGGTACCTCTCTTTAGTGTTTATGTTTTTTGGCTCAATCCTATAGAAGAAAAGTTTACAATAATTATCTAAAATTCTGCCATTTTTGGAATACCTGTTTTTTTCCCCAAAAGACAGGAAAATATCAGGGAGAGTCTAGAGTGTTGAATTCAACAAAAGCTCATTTAAAAGTAAATCTCCATAAATGGAAAAGCTTTTCAACTATAGGCAAATTGAAAATAACAGCAATTCACTGGAAGACGAATTTCACTGCCAAAACCTGCTGACGAGTTCTACCTGTCTTTTTCATTACTGTGTTTCCTAATATTTCAAGTGAGGTAAGAATTACAAAAATGATTCTAAAAATTACAGCAGGTTCTACCCAGATCAGACCCATCTAGTTCCTAAGATGCTGAGAAGCATTTATTATTTAAAAAGTAGGAACGCCGGGCGCGGTGGCTCAAGCCTGTAATCCCAGCACTTTGGGAGGCCGAGGCGGGTGGATCACAAGGTCAAGAGATCGAGACCATTCTGGTCAACATGGTGAAACCCCGTCTCTACTGAAAATACAAAACATTAGCTGGGCATGGTGGCGTGTGCCTGTAATCCCAGCCACTCAGGAGGCTGAGGCAGGAGAATTGCCTGAACCCAGGAGGCGGAGGTTGCCGTGAGCCAAGATCGCGCCATTGCACTCCAGCCTGAGTAACAAGAGTGAAACTCCGTCTCACAGAAAAAAAAAAAAAAAAAAGTAGGAACAACATGAGGGAACAGAAGCTTTGGCATATGAAAAAAGATACAGCTTTGTTTCCTAGAATTCAGTTATTTAGGCCAGTTTATTTTTATTTGTGCTCTGAACTGATTATACATGGGTCTCAGATAAAAGACAGGAAAACTGGCCATCTTCCTGAGTAGAGGTGAAATAACCTCTTGTGATAGTCCTGAAGGCAGAGGCGATGGCGATCTTCAGTCATCGACCTCTTGGCTGCTTTCACTCCTGCCACGTTCTCATCTCCTTTCTATACAACTCCTTTAACCATAAGTGGAGTGTTGGGATAAGTGGAACAACTAATACAGTGACTACAGGGATTTTCCTGACTTTAGTGCTTGAGGAATTCTTTCTTTCAGTTCTCCTCCTATCTATTGTCTTCTAGGTAGGGATGGTTCTGCACTTTCTAGACCTGTAACACTAGGTACCCTAAACTAATAGAAAAAAAAACAAAGGTAGTACAAAACATAGAAAAATGTGGGTCTGTTTTCTGGAAACAGGTTGTGAACTTAAGAATGCTCAGTTGTGCTGGGCGCGGTGGCTCAAGCCTGTAATCCCAGCACTTTGGGAGGCCGAGGCGGGTGGATCACGAGGTCGAGAGATTGAGACCATCCTGGTCAACATGGTGAAACCCCGTCTCTACTAAAAATACAAAAAACTAGCTGGGCGTGGTGGCACGTGCCTGTAATCCCAGCTACTTAGGAGGCTGAGGCAGGAGAATTGCCTGAGCCCAGGAGGTGGAGGTTGCGGTGAGCCGAGATCGCGCCATTGCACTCCAGCCTGGGTAACAAGAGCGAAACTCCGTCTCATTAAAAAAAAAAAAAAAAAAAAGAATGCTCAGTTTTATAGTCGGTTTATGTTATATGAGCTCAGAAACATGGGGCTGGCCGGGTGCGGTGGCTCACACCTGTAATCCCAGCACTTTGGGAAGCCGAGGCAGGCGGATTGCCTGAGCTCAGGAGTTCAAGTGAGCCTGGGCAACACAGTGAAACCCCATCTCTACTGAAATACAAAAAAATTAGCCAGGCATGGTGGTGTGTACCTGTAGTCCCAGCTACTTGGGAGGCTGAGGCAAGAGAATTGCAAGAACCTGGGAAGCAGAGGCTGCAGTGAGCAGAGATTTCGAAACTGTACTCCAGCCTGGGTGACAGAGTGAGACTCCATCTCAAAAAAAAGAAAGAAAGAAAGAAAGAAAGAAAGAAAGAAACATGGTTCTGGAATATGACTTATGAAAGACAGCCTAGCCATAAGGAAGTCCCTCAAAGGACTTTACACAATTCATGTTTTATTATCATTACATTAATAAGTGCCCACAATGCATATAAATAATCACTGTAGCCCTACTTTCAAAACTGATGTTTGTTCAACAAGATACATTAAGAAAAACCTGGCCGGGCACGGTGGCTCAAGCCTGTAATCCCAGCACTTTGGGAGGCCGAGGCGGGTGGATCATGAGGTCGAGAGATCGAGACCATCCTGGTCAACATGGTGAAACCCCGTCTCTACTAAAAATACAAAAAATTAGCTGGGCATGGTGGTGCATGCCTGTAATCCCAGCTACTCAGGAGGCTGAGGCTGGAGAATTGCCTGAACCCAGGAGGCGGAGGTTGCGGTGAGCCGAGATCACGCCATTGCACTCCAGCCTGGGTAACAACAGCGAAACTCTGTCTCAAAAAAAAAAAAAAAAAAGAAAAGAAAAAGAAAAACCTAACCTGCTTTGTTACCTAAAATATTATGATACCAAGCTATAATGGACTAGTGAGATTCATAAACATTGTTTCTTGAATAACTTTAGAGGTACTGCAATTTTTTTCATAGTACTCACCTTTTTTTTTGAGACGGAGTTTCACTCTTGTTACCCAGGCTGGAGTGCAATGGTGCAACCTCGGCTCACCGCAACCTCTGCCTCCTGGGTTCAGGCAATTCTCCTGCCTCAGCCTCCCGAGTAGCTGGGACTACAGGCGTGCACCACCATGCCCAGCTAATTTTTGTATTTTTAGTAGAGACGGGGTTTCACCATGTTGACCAGAATGGTCTCGATCTCTTGACCTCGTGATCCACCCGCCTCGGCTTCCCAAAGTGCTGGGATTACAAGTACTCACCTTTTAAAAAATTGCAATACTCATCTTACTGCACTGTAACATGCTACTATCATCAACAAATTAATTACTGAAAGAGTCATCCTATAAATCTATCCCATTAGTGACTAGGCAGTTTGATAAAGGAGCTTACTGCCATTCTTAGAATCACGTGGCTAGTTATTCTCCCAAGATTTAGAGATGCATTTATAAAACCTTTTATGAAATTCCCAATAAAATGGGATAATGTACAGAGATGCCTGAAAGTTAAATGACAGAATGATGCCGATTCTTGCACATCAAAGACATTTGTTATTGCAGTCAGGAGACAATGCCATAAAATGCTAACAAAAAAAAAGTTATACTGTTTTCCTTAAAGTCAGTAAATTACATAAAAGTACTCTGAGCATTTCTGGAAGAAAGGCACCAGACAAGTCCAAAGTCTTATTGCTAGAAGAATCATACAGGGTCACAGACTATGGTACTCTGCTCAGCCAGGAGACTAGGTCTCAGCAAGTCAGTCACTGACCTTGAGACTTAAAGAGCAAGGAAGGAAAATGTCAATAAAACAGAGCCCTGTATCACAGATTAACCTTGAGTGAAAATAATTTCCAGTTTTATGTCAAAGTGGAAGCTGGTTCCTAGGATGCTGGGGCTATCTTAGATGGGTACTCTGTTTTCTTTGGCCCATTTCTTCATGATCCGGATGATGTACTCTACTTGGGTGTTACCTGTGCTTCTCAGTAAATGGATCACTTCTCGAAGGGTCTCTCTGAGGAAAAGATTTGAAAAGACAAAATGTGTCAATGAAGAATGAAAATTTAAAAATAAAATAAACTCTGAACTGTCCTTCATACCATATGTCTTGTAGTGCATTTTTGGTAATAGACTTTTCCACTGTTATTCATAAAGCAATTAACAAGCTTCCTAGTCTCATGTCCTGATGGTGGCCTAGAAAATGAAGATTATGTGAAATCTCTCTTACCAACCCAAGTGTTCCTTGTTTATCCATACCACCTATCTACATTCTGATAATCTTTTTGTCCTCTCTGAGATGACCTAAATATTCCCATTTCTGTTGTCACTCTGCATGACTAGAAAGGGTATATCCAGGAGTTGAGTTCAAGTTCTAGCTCTAACACTAACAAGTCACTTAGTTTGTCTCACTCATAGATTTCTACCTGGTTTAAGGTGGTAATCATGTTCTACTAGGCACCACTGTCAAATTCATAAAATCTGACAAAGCCAGAGGAATGAGTCATTTGTTTCAAGAAAAATAATACATGAATAAATATGGAAGAGAGGAACATTAAAGACGAAGCCTAGCATTTATGTTTGATTTAAATTTCTGGAAGTTTATAATAATTAAAATTAAAATATATTTTAAGTAATGCATACAAAAACCTCCCTATTGCCCTAGCAAATCTATAGGCAACAGACTATGAATCCATTTGCTTAAGAGTCTCCTCATATTTTTTACTTCTTTTTCCCCACAAACAACCTCTTTCACAAAGTTTAAAACCAATTGCTTTTAAACTTTTATTTAGAAATCCTATAAGGTAGGAAGTAATTTTTGATATTTTCTTTCAAAATTATCACATTTCCTATTCATATATCAGTAGTGAATACATTCCATGAAATTATTTTTAGAAAATGGAATTGAGTTGTGTGTTAATGTTTGTTTCAAATGAAACTATAGGCCAGGCGTGGTGGCTCATGCCTGTAATCTCAGAACTTTGGGAGGCCAAGGTTGGAGAATCACCTGAGATCAGGAGTTTGAGACCAGCCTGGCCAATATGGTGAAACCCCATCCCTATTAACAATACAAAAATTATTCAGGCGTGGTGGCACGCGCCTGTAATCCCAGCCACTTGGGAGACTGAGGTAGGAGAGTCAATTGAACCCAGGAGGCAGAGACTGTAGTGAGCTGAGATCGCACCATTGCACTCCAGCCTGGGACACAGAGCAAGACTCCATCTTAAAAAAAAAAAAAAGGAAAAAGAAAGAAAAAGAAAGTATAAGCCACTTGATTTTATGTACACTAATGTCTCAGTATTTCCTCGAATACGAGAAGGTGAACAAAACCAAAAGAGTTACCAACCACATCTACTCCATTCCTAATTCTTTGAGACTTGAACTAATGGACACAAGAAAAAGCCAAATAGGCAAAAAACAAAAACAAACAAAAACCCCAAAGAGTAGATGAGTAAAAAACAAAACTTTGTTTATAAAAATGGCTATTCATTTGGAACCAAATATCCATCTGGCTCTTATATTTGGAGGCTGTTAGTGTACTCAATGTATATATAACTTAGATTTATCTGATTCTATTACATGTGACTTAGAATCATCTGATTCTACAAAATGTTTCTGGAGGAAAAGGGTCAGATAGAAATATTTAACATCAACATTTTTTTCATCATTCTAAAACATCATTATAATTGTGTGTTTTCAGAAGAGACCATCCAAGAGAACAATTACTTTCCCTCAAAAACAAGAAAATGAGTAGAGGCAGTATCTCTTGCCTGTTTACTTACTTGGGTTCTCTCCCAGCTAAGATCATCTGGAAAATGCCCACACAGGCACCCCTTTTGCCTTCCCAATACTGAGGGTTGGGATCCAGCCTCTCGAGGACGTCAAAAGCTTTGGCAGAATAGTAAAACTGGCCCATCTGAACAAGAGAAAGTATGTGGTAATACTTGCAATAAAAAGATTGCACAGAAAGACCCTGAACATAAAGGTAACATGAAACGGAACTGCATGAAATAAGTGCATGGGTAATGACAACATTTTCAGTTAGCAAGTTTCAATTCCTAGTTAAAACAATAAGAAGGAAGATCACAGTTTGGGTACATAGGTTCGGTTTAAACCACCTATGTTCACTCAGTTTTCAATAGTGTAACATTTTTTCTACATACAGTCAAGTTATGCTACAATCAGCATTTTTGCCATTTCTTCTAATTGTATTCTAATCTTGAGGAGAAACTGATTATTGCGATTTGAGCTGAGCATTTTTCAAGTCTCTTCAGTGTATTCTTTTCACATGACTACTATCATTCATTTTATGCAATTTGATCATATTCCACTTGAGGGTGGTCTTTCCCTAATCTTGTTCCTAAATTCTCAGAATGCCTAGATGTATACTGAATAGTAAACACTAAATCTTTTAAATATTTAATGCATTTTGACAGACATTTCCCCAAACGTACTAACATTTCCTTGATCTCACAGAACATGCTGAATGCCATTAAATTCTGCTTAGTTTTCTTTTTTTGTTTTCTTTTATTAAAAAAATTTTTTTTAATTCATGATTTTTTTTAGAGATAGGATCTTGCTCTATTGCCCAGGCTGGAGTGCAGTGGTGCCATCATGGTTCACTGCAACCTCAAATTCCTGGGCTCAAGAGATCCTCCTGCCTCAGCATTCCAAGCAGCTGGGACTACAGAAGCACACCACCATGCCTTGCCAATTTTTAATTTTTTGTAAGACAGGCTCTCACGAGTTTGCCCAGGTGGGTTTGAATTCCTGGCCTCAAGTGATCCTCCCACTTTGGTTTCCCAAAGTGTTGAGATTACAGGCTTCAGCCACCACGCCTGGCCAGATGAGTTTTCTTATTTGGTAATCATAAATGCATACTGTTACCAATTTCACTTAAGGCTTCAAATTGCTGGGCAGCTCTATGCTTTAGCTACTTCTCTATTTCTGACAGATGTTTTTCTAAATCTTTGAAAATTTCCTTAAGACAGCCTTCTTAGCTTAGCTTTATTCTGTACTTTACAGGGAAAACACAATTTTTCTCTCTTCAGTTCAAATTATATTTACACATTCATTAATCCTTTCTTCTCTTCTGTCTAATGGGAAGAAATTTTTTGTTTTTGGTTTTGTTTTTTTGAGACGGAGTTTCGCTCTTGTTACCCAGGCTGGAGTGCAATGGCGCGATCTCGGCTCACCGCAACCTCCGCCTCCTGGGTTCAGGCAATTCTCCTGCCTCAGCCTCCTGAGTAGCTGGGATTACAGGCACGTGCCACCATGCCCAGCTAATTTTTTTGTATTTTTAGTAGAGACGGGGTTTCACCATGTTGACCAGGATGGTCTCGATCTCTTGACTTCGTGATCCACCCGCCTCGGCCTCCCAAAGTGCTGGGATTACAGGCTTGAGCCACCGTGCCCGGCCCTGTTTTTGTTTTTTTTTGAGACGGAGTTTCGCTCTTGTTACCCAGGCTGGAGTGCAATGGCGTGATCTCGGCTCACCGCAACTTCCGCCTCCTGGGTTCAGGCAATTCTCCTGCCTCAGCCTCCTGAGTAGCTGGGATTACAGGCACACGCCACCATGCCCAGCTAATTTTTTGTATTTTTAGTAGAGACGGGGTTTCACCATGTTGACCAGGATGGTCTTGATCTCTTGACCTCGTGATCCACCCGCCTTTGCCTCCCAAAGTGCTGGAATTACAGGCTTGAGTCACTGCGCCCGGCCTGGGAAGAAGTTTTTAAAAATTATTTTCAAGGTTTATACTTCTGTTTATGTACTCTTTGGAAAAAAGTCTTTATTGTGAAATAACATACATATAGAATGGTTTATGAAACATCCATGTACAGCTACTAATTATAATGTGAAAATACTACCCAATTCAAGACACTGAGCAACACAAAAGCCACATGGTCTTCCAGACCATAACTCCCTCTTTCCATAGTCAGAGGTAACTACTATTCTGACTTTTATGCTCATCAGTTCTTTGACTTTCTTTATGTTATGTCTTACATATACACATCTTTAAACAATATAATTGAGTTCTGCTTCTCAGAACTTTATATGAATGAATATTGTAAATATTTTATTATGTCTTGTACCTATGATTCAACATTATAAGATCCATCTATATTGCTGTATATAGATCTAGTTGATTCATTAAAAAACATTTTTTTTTATTTTGCCAGGTGTAGTGGTTCACGCCTGTAATCCCAGCCCTTTGGGAGGCTGAGGTGGGCGGATCACCTGAGGTCGGGAGTTTGAGATCAGTGTGACCAACATGGAGAAACTCTGTCTGTACTAAAAATACAAAATTAGCTAGGCGTGGTGGCACATGCCTGTAATCCCAGCTACTTGGGAGGCTGAGGCAGGAGAATCACTTGAACCCAGGAGGCAGAGGTTGTGGTGAGCCGAGATCACGCCATTGCACTCCAGACTGGGCGACAAAAGCAAACTCTGTCTCAAGAAAAAAAAATTTATTTTCAAGTTTTAGTAATTATAGATCCATGGACAAAGATAGGTCAGAGGTCACATGTACCTTTCACCTAGTTTCCTCCAAAGGTTGTAACTTACATTAACAATAGTAAAATATCACAACATAAAGATCAGGAAATTGCCGGGCGCGGTGGCTCAAGCCTGTAATCCCAGCACTTTGGGAGGTCGAGGCGGGTGGATCATGAGGTCAAGAGATCGAGACCATCCTGGTCAACATGGTAAAACCCCGTCTCTACTAAAAATACAGAAAATTAGCTGGGAATGGTGGCGCATGCCTGTAATCCCAGCTACTCAGGAGGCTGAGGCAGGAGAATTGCCTGAACCCAGGAAGAGGAGGTTGCGGTGAGCCGAGATCACGCCATTGCACTCCAGCCTGGGTACAAGAGTGAAACTCTGTCTCAAAAAATAAATAAATAAATAAATAAATCAGGAAATTGACATTGGTACTGTGTATGCTGACGATAGTCTTGTTATTTCATCATATGTGTAGATTCATGTATCCACAACCATACAACTATCAAGATACCGAGTTACTCTTTTTGTCTGGACACAAAGTCTCGCTTTGTCATCCAGGATGGAGTGCAGTAAGGCAATTACAGCTTACTGCAACTTTGAACTTCAGGGCTCAAATGATTCTCCTGCCTCAGTCTCTCGAGTAGCTAGGACACAGGTGTGTGCCACCATGCCCAGCTACTTTTTAAAAAATGTTTTATAGAGACAGTGTCTCACTATGTTGCCCAGGCTGGCCTTGAACTCCTGGCCTCAAGCAATCCTCCTGCCTTGGCCTCCCAAAGTGCTGGAATTGCAAGCATAGGACATTGTGCCTGGCCAAGATGCAGAACTATTACGTCACCACCAAGATTTCCCTTGTTACCCTTTTACAGTCACACGCGCAGCCCTCCCTGCTCACCATCCCTAACCTCTAACAACCTCTAATTTGTTTTCTATCTCAATAATTTTGTCATTTCAAGAATGTTATATATATGAAAGCAAACAGTAGGGGGACTCCTTGAAACTGGCTTTTTTCCTTCAGTATAATGTCCTTGTTACTCCCTGTTGATTCAAGTTACTTTGTGTACCGACAGCTTGCTCCTGTTATGGTCACCCTGCAACTGCAAGAGGGACTCCCAACCAAAGTTTGGTTTGGATATTGAAACTGATGACACCACACACACACAGCAAGAGGATATGAAACATCTTCTTACAGATCTGAAGTCTTGGGAGAGTAGAATGGCCCTATTATGCAGGTCTGAAAAGGCCTGAGAGAGCAAGGAAAGAGACTGGCCTTGGTGTTTACTGTGGTTAGGAGGTAGGGCAGTGTTGAAGGTTCCTGTGTCTGGCCAGGGGCTTGTGTGGCTTGAATCACTCTACGGGGCCAAAGAAGGGAGCATGTAGGTTTTCTTATCATTCTGTCCAGATGTGGGGCACAAGGGGAAAAGAATGGGGTGAGGCTTAAAAGCAGTCAGCAGTCAAACAACAAGAAATGGAGTCAGACTTTTCATTACAGTTCCTTATTATTACTGGTAGCATTCCATGCCAAACCAGTCTGTTTAACCATTTACCTACTGCAAGATTTTGATGTTTCCAGTTTTAGGCTATTACAAATAAAGCTCCTATTAACATTTATATATTAAAATTTGTGTTACTAACATTTATATATTTCTGTGGATATAGGTTTTCATTTATCTGGGATAAATACATAGGAATGCAATTGCTGGGTCATATGGTTAAGTATGTTTATTAAAGAAACTGCCAAACTACTTCATGATGGGGCATTCTTTTTGATCCTTTTATTTTTATTTTTATTTTTTTTGTTTTGTTTTTTTTTTTTGAGACGGAGTTTCACTCTTGTTACCCAGGCTGGAGTGCAATGGCGCGATCTCGGCTCACCGCAACCTCTGCCTCCGGGGCTCAGGCAATTCTCCTGTCTCGGCCTCCTGGGTAGCTGGGATTACAGGCACGGGCCACCATGCCAAGCTAATTTTTTGTATTTTTAGTAGAGACGGGGTTTCACTATGTTGACCAGGATGGTCTCGATCTCTTGACCTCGTGATCCACCCGCCTCGGCCTCCCAAAGTGCTGGGATTACAGGCTCGAGCCACCACGCCCGGCCTGATCCTTTTATTTTTGACCTACATATATCAATATTTTTAAAGTGATTTTGCCGGGCGCGGTGGCTCACGCCTGTAATCCCAGCACTTTGGGAGGCCAAGGCGGGTAGATCATGAGGTCAAGAGATCGAGACCATCCTGGTCAACATGGCGAAACCCCATCTCTACTAAAAATACAAAAAATTAGCTGGGCATGGTGGCGTGTGCCTGTAATCCCAGCTACTCAGGAGGCTGAGGCAGGAGAATTGCCTGAACCCAGGAAGCGGAGATTGCGGTGAGCCGAGATCGCGCCATTGCACTCCAGCCTGGGTAACAAGAGCGAAACTCCGTCTCAAAAAAAAAAAAAAAAGTGATTTTACTGCTGAGAACACATAATTGGGTTTTTTTCAAAATCTACTCTGTCAGTAGATGTCTTGTAATTGGCATACTTAGACCATTTACATTTAATTTATGACATATTAGGGCTTAATTCTGCCATTTCCCTCCTTATTCTCTCTGTTTTTCTTTGACAAGGATATCACATATATATTGAAAAAAGACATGGCCATGTGATCCCCACAGAGGGAAAATAAGAAAACCTATATTTGACTTCTCTAGCCTTCACCTACACCTCTCTTGTTCCTGCTGTTCCTGTAGTGTGATAAATTTTAGCCATGAGTATAACTTTACATTGAGTCATATGAGTCCCTCTAGTAAATCACCAAGTTTGTGGGTGGTCATGGGACCACTGAGACACCAGGTAAGTCTAACTTGTTTTTCAAGTAGTTATCTTCCTTTGATGTTAACCCTATTCCCCTTTCATCTTCTCTAGGGCCTGACTCCATCAAAAATGCCCCATTCTCCTGAATCTTTAATCTTCCTGTTCAATGGCTCATTTTCTTCTGCTGACAGGCATACTCCCCTACCCCCATTCTAAAAGAGGAGATCTACACCCCATCCCCAATCCCAAACTGTTTTTCCATTTAAGTTAGCACTGTATTTTTTCTCCTTATCTTCAATATCAAATTTTTTAATACTGTGGTCTACATTACACTCACTGCATCTGCTTTTTAATCTGACTCTATTCTCTACCTACTACTGTCAGTCCTCATGCATTTCAATCTGGATGCAGATTTGACACTGCCTTGGCTTTTGACTAAATAGGAGCAAGAAAAAGTAATGAAAAGCATTTTTTCCTCTGTCCTCATTGTTTTCTTTCTCTTCTGTTCATCCTCTCCTTCATTTACTCTTCTCTCTTTCTAGCCCTTAAACAGTGGTGTTCCGCAAGGTTCCTCACCCTGTTTACGGGTTCATCCTATTCTCTCTCATACTTTGCTGTTGCTGCTATTACTACCACTGCTACTACTATTGCTATTACCACCACTAACTACTGTTAACTTCTAAATCTACATTGTTAACTCCTGTGAACTGCTAAATCTGCATTGCTAATTGCAATGAATACCAAAGCTCCAAGCACAGCATTTCCTACTTGTATTATCTCTGCTGGGAACCTCAAAGACAGTTCAGATTTAATATATCTCAAACGGAAATAATTTCCTGTCTTCCAATGTTTTCCTTCCCTCTGCCTCCCCTAACTTAACAGCACTGGCATCCACCAAGTCATGTTAAACCATTATTTTCAAGTCTCCTATGTCTTAAAATCTTTTCCACTGGTGGTGATTCACTTCCTTGTTTGGTAATGATTCACTTTGAAATTAGCTTTTGTTGATTGATTTAACATAAGACTCTCTTTACCTGACATTTACCTGTATTTTTGACATTTTTGGATGAGATATTCCAAAAATAGGAACTTGCAGAATTTGAGGTGAATTTTTTTAAATTTTAATCTATAGGTTAGGTCCCAAAACTACTAACTTCTCCCAGCCTTTCCAACTCCCCAGCCCCTACACACACACGAACCAACATGTACAAAAAACAGCCATTCCTTTACTAAATCTGACTAATTTTTTATTCTCTTTTCTGGTCTTTGTCTTTCCTGTCTGCCATTTGCACCTCAAAGTTTGGTTTGCTACTCTTCTCCCTTTCCTTTTTACTTGTGTAATCTCACTGTTTTTCAGGGCTTCAGTGAATCCAGTCATGCGCTTCATAACAGTATTTTGATCCATGACAGGCAGCATATATGATGGTGGTTCCATTAGATTATAATACTGTATTTTTTTTGTGCCTTTTCTATGTTTAGATATGTTTCAATATGCAAATATCTGCCATTGTGTTAAAACTGCCTACATAATTCAGTACAGGAACATGCTGTACAGGTTTGCAGCTTAGCAGCAATAGGCTATATATTATATCATATGGCCTAAATGTGTAGCAGGCTATACCATCTAAGTTTGTGTAAGTACACTCTGATGTTTGTACAATGACGAAATCACCCAATGACACATTTCTCAGACCTTATCCCCATTATTAAGCAACACAGGGCTGTACTTAAATGTTAATGACTCCCAATCTATGTCTCTAGATATCAGAAGACATGTTTCTTGAACTTCAGAACCAAATTTCTAACTACCAGATGACTATCTGTACATCAGTGCTACCTAAAGATTCATAGCCTTTAGAAATCTAAAACTTCCTCTCTAAATAATTATTTCATATACACATAAATTTCTGAAATACTGCCTATCTTTAAGTTCAGTTCATTCATAAAAAGAATGGCATCAGGCCGGGTGGCGTGGCTCACGCCTGTAATTACAGCGCTTTGGGAGGCCAAGGCAGGCAGACTATGAGGTCAGGAGTTTGACACCAGCCTGGCCAACATTGTGAAACCCCATCTCTACTAAAAATACAAAAATTAGCTGGGCATGGTGACAGGTGCCTGTAATCCCAGCTACTCAGGAGAATTCCTTGAACCAGGGAGGCGGAGGTTGCAGTGAGCTAAGATTGCACCACTGCACTTAAGCCTGGGTGACAGAGAGAGACTGTCTCAAAAAAAAAAAAAAAAAAAAGAATGGAATCTCTTATAACAAACACTATGCAAATCCTCCCACTACTAACCATTTAGTCTGCAGGACATTTCCCTTAATATTAGCCAATGCAGCAATGTGATACTGACCTTCAGTGTCCCTTTAGTCTCAGTCAAACTTACCTTGTAACAGTCATTAGCAATTAGCTGTAAGAGACTGAAGGACTCGCCAGAGGTTTCCATCTTGAGATAAAGTTCCCAGGCTAGTCTTGGTTTCTTATTCATAATATCTGCAAAAGGAAACAAAGATTTGTAAACAAATGAGTCATTTTTACATGGACAAAAAATAATTTCTGCACCTTATTATTCTATGGATTTGGTTCTATATTCCAAATAAAGTAATGATAGAATACCTCTTTCATGGAAAGCTTGCAATGTTGGCATTAAGCTGGCTCCCTGCCAGAATTCTACCATACTTAATATAGTTAAGTTAGGAGTCACATAATTATGTCTTTCAGACTGGATTGACTTCTGGTAGTTCCTACTTTGCTCATCTGCTTAAAAGAGGATACCTAGCATTCATTCAATCTGACTCACAGTTTCAGCCTCACTTAGAAGATTTGATTGCTAAATTTTCCTCTGACAAAAACTCAGTGAACATTTTATTTAATTTTATCTTTGCACTGAGACAGAGTCTTGCTCTGTCACCCAGGCTGGAGTGTAGTGGTGCGATCTTGGACCACTGCAAACTTTGCCTCCTGGGTTAAGTGATTCTCATACCTCAATCTCCCAAGTAGCTGGGATTACAGGTGTGCACCACCATGCCCAGCTAATTTTAGTATTTTTAGTAGAGATGAGGTTTCACCATGTTGGCCAGGCTGGTCTTGAACTCCTGGCCTCAAGTGATCCTTCTGCCTCACGCTCCCAAAGTGCTGGGATTACAGGTGTGAGCAACTGTGCTTGGCAACATTTTAAATCTGAGTTTTAAAAAGGAGCAAGAAAAGATAGTGAGCGAGAGAGAGATAGAAAGTAAAGTTCTATAATACACCAAAAAATTACATTTTTAACATTTTGCCGCTTTTCAGGTTTGAACCATAGTGAAAAGTTAAAATTAGCATGACAACATCATTTCACAAACAACACAATAAACTGAGACTCTGGAAACTTGAACGAGACTTTAGGAAGAACCTGACATTTTTCTGGCTATAAGTACTAGATCAATACTATGTAGAAGAAAAAATCACAGGGTAAACTTGCATGACACATTTACATGGAAACTCTTACTGAGTAGAATGAACAATCCTCAATTTCAGTGTTTACTCATTCTACAGAACAAAATGCAAAATAAAATTAGAAAACATTTAATGTCATTTCCAAACAGATTATGCAACCAAAAAGAAAAAGAGGACTCCTTTTGTAACATTTAAAAGAAGACTCACAGCACCGAGCTAACCAGCTGAGGTAAATGTAATCATTTTTCATCTTCTCACTTTGGATCAAGAGGAACACCTGCAAGAAGAGAAAAGAAAGGGAACACACGTGAGGATGGTTTTGCAGTGAAAATATCCACTACTGGCTTGCCTTAGATTGATGATGACCGTAGCACTGTAGATGACCAAACTCTATACAGGCTACTAAGAAAAGTAAAGGACAGAGTTGTGGTGATTTAAAAATAGTACACCAGAAATTGATATTACACGTTGACAAAAAGTTGGTAAGGATATAGAAGATTTAAGCGGAATAATTAAAAACTGTATGATACATATTCCTTTTAAGCACACATGACATGCTACACACCGGTCAGTAAGGCAAGCCTCAACAAAGGGTAAACGACTGGTATCAAACAGTCCATATTCTTTTGTTTGTTTTCTAGACAAGGTCTCACACTGTCAACCAGGCTGCAGTGCAGTGGCACGATCATGGCTCACTACAGTCTTGACCTCCCGGTGTCAAGTGATCCTCCCTCGTACCTTGGCCTCCCAAATAGCTGGGACTACAGACACATGCCACCATACTCGGCTATTAAAAATTTTTTTTTTGTAGAGATGGTGTCTCACTATATTGCCTAGGCTGGTCTCGAACTCCTGGGCTCAAGTGATCCTCCCACTTTTCAGCCTTCCAAAAGGTTGGGATTATAGGTGTGAGCCAGCTCACCTAGCCCAGACCACATTCTATGACCACAAAAATACAATTAAAATAAGTAAATAAATATTGATAGTCACCAAGCTGTATACGTAGGATTTGTATAGTTTCCTGTACATATGTTATATTTCTATAAAGTTTACTTAGGATTTGTATACTTTTCTGTACATATGTTATATTTCTATAAAGTTTACTAAAAAGGAAAAATTTTAATATGGTTATAAAACCTATGTCTGTTCATATTGTACTTTTTTTTTTTAAGAGATGGGATCTCACGATGTTGCTCAGGCTGGAGTGCAGTAGACAGGGTCCCACTATGTTGCCCAGGCTGGAGTGCAGTGGCTATTCACAAGCATGATTATAGTGCACTGCAGCTTAAAACTTCCAGGCTCAAGCCACTGTCCTGCCTCAGCCTCCCAAGTAGCTGGGACTACAGGTGTGTGCCACTGCACCTTCTCCATAGTGTACTTTTTTTTTTTTTTTTTTTTTGAGACAGAGTTTCGCTCTTGTTACCCAGGCTGGAGTGCAATGGCACGATCTCGGCTCACCGCAACCTCCGCCTCCTGGGTTCAAGCAATTCTCCTGCCTCAGCCTCCTGAGTAGCTGGGATTACAGGCACGTGCCACCATGCCCAGCTAATTTTTTTGTATCTTTAGTAGAGACGGGGTTTCACCATATTGACCAGGATGGTCTCGATCGCTTGACCTCGTGATCCACCCGCCTCAGCCTCCCAAAGTGCTGGGATTACAGGCTTGAGCCACCGCGCCCGGCTTACTTTTTTTTTTTTTTTTTGAGATGGAGTTTCGCTCTTGTTACCCAGGCTGGAGTGCAATGGCGCGATCTTGGCTCACTGCAACCTCCGCCTCCTGTGTTCAGGCAATTCTCCTGCCTCGGCCTTCTGAGTAGCTGGGATTACAGGTATGCGTCATCATGCCCAGCTAATTTTTTGTATTTTTAGTAGAGACGGGGTTTCACCGTATTGACCAGGATGGTCTCGGTCTCTTGACCTCGTGATCCACCCACCTTGGCCTCCCAAAGTGCTGGGATTACAGGCTTGAGCCACTGCACCCGGCCCACAGCGTACTTTTTAATGCAACTTAAGAACAGAGGAATCTTTAATAATCCTTAACACTTGACCCTTAACCATTTTATTCCAGTGAGAAAAAGACAAGGATGTTTTTAGATAGGATCATTCAAATGCTTTCAAAAGCAGGTACCCACCTCTTCAGCCTCACTAGTATTGCCTGTTGCAGCTTTGGCTTGGGCATAATTAAAGTTAAAGATGTCATCATTATAGAAGTAACTCTGAAAAACACCCCAAGAACAGGTCGCATTGAGAATTAACATATAAAACATAAAACCACCAGTTATACCAATTAATACAAAATTAACCTTATGGATTAGTCTATGCCACTAATGCCACCAAAGAAAATGGGTCATCTCTAAGGGTACCTTACCTTCTCTGACATAGTCTACAGTATTTTGTATATAGTCTTATATAATTCTATACTGACCTTAAATGAATTGAGGTAAATCAAGACATCATCAAATTGCTTAAGCAGGAAGAAACAGGAAGCCATGCACTGCCTCCCTGGTATTGTATCTGAAATAGAGGGAAAAAAAAACCCCACACATATTCATGAAACTAAAATCCTCTTTAGCTGAAATTTTAGTTATTTAATAATTTAGAGACAGGAAAATATTCTTAGACATCTTTCTAGATTCTGAAATTTTAGATTTTGTTTAGTGGGCAAAACTCCAACAAATGGAGGTCATTGAGAGTGACCAATAAGGGATAAACTCCCAGAGTCCAAAATGAACACATGCCCTTCAGTTTCACTAGCTACGGCATTACCCAAATCATTTCCAGGGCTTTGATTCTCACATCCAACATTTGCACATTCACTTGGTGTGGCCTGGTCTCCATCATCACTTTTCTAAATCAACCTAGCATTTCTAATCTCAAACGGAAAAATAATTTGCCATGGAACCATCTGATTCTGATCCTGATCCAATTTTTTGCCTGATATCAGATTTCTATTTGAATAGTGGAGGATTCCTATAACTAACACCCTTGCCACAGACATTCCTAAGGCTCCTTATCCTGCTAAATTTTTTTCCTTTAGCACTTATCACAGACTGATATACCATGTATATCTGATACATATAATATTATATATATCTAGTCAGATATACACATAAGATATAAAACCATCAGTTATACCAGATAAACACAAAACTATTTTTAAGGATTAGTTGATCCCACTAATGCCACCACAGAAAATGAGGCATTTTCTGGTATATCTAATCAGATATACATACAAAATATAAAACCATCAGTTATACCAGATAAACACAAAACTAATCTTAAGGATTAGTTTGTAAGGTCTGACCATGCCGTGGCCCCTACCACATGGTGACCCCCGTGAACGGCACCTACACCTCTGGAGGGCCTGCCGGAATTAGAAAACCTGAAGTAGCTGGAAGATCATGAAAAGAGGAAGAAACGATCAGCTCCTGTGGCTCCTACTTAACTCTGAGACCTTCTCTATTGTTTCTTATTCAGGCTTCAACTGACAAGGCCATTGGACTTTGTAACTGACCTTAGCTTGGCCAACTTAGCGACTCCACACCCTATAACCCCCTCCCAGCTTGCAAAAAACCGCCCTTAACTGTACCTTTTGTAACTTTCCGCTGCCTTCTCCACAACCTATAAAACCAACTCCTATCCCACCTTCCATTTTCGGACTCAGCCCACCCACAGCTGGGTGAATAAACAACCATGTTGCTCACACAAAGCCTGTTTGGGGGAGTCTCTTCATTCAGAGCAAAAGTTTTAACATAGTTGATGCCACTAATGCTACCACAGAAAATGGTGGCATTTTCTGGTATCTCTGATAAGATATATATCTATCGTATATATCTGATATACATAGTATATCAGACTGTTACAAGTGGTAAAGGAAAAAAAGTAAACAGGATAAGGAGTCTTAGGAATGCATGTAGTAAAGGTGTTAGTTATACGAATCCTCCACTACTCAAATAGGAATCTGATATCAGGCAAAAAGTTGGATCGGGATCAGAATGTACATACTAGATATATGTACCATATACATACATAGTATAACTATATAGGTGTGGACACACAAACACTATATGTACATAGTATATACTATATATATATATATATATATATATATATATATATATATTTTGAGACAGAGTCTTGCTCTGTTGCCCAGGCTAGGGTACAGTAGGGTGATCTTGGCTCACTGCAACCCCCACCTCCCAGGTTCAATCTATTCTCTTGGCTCAGCCTCCCAAGTAGCTGGGATTACAGGTACACACCACCACACTAGGCTAATTTTTATATTTTTAGTAGAGATGGAGTTTCACCATGTTGGCCAGGCTGGTCTCCATCTCTTGAGCTTGTGATCTGCCTGCCTTAGCCTCCCAAAGTGCTGGGATTACAGGCGTAAACAACGGTGCCCAGCCACTATATATTTTTTCTAGTCTGTCTGGCCCACTAGACTGTAAGTTGCATAACGGTTGGAAATTTTGTTTGTTTACTGCTGTATCTTCAGCAGCTCAATACATTTTTATTGTATGAATCAATGAATGAAACGGGGAAAATATTATTCAATAACTGGTGTTGGTGGAACATTTGTGAATATCCAGGGGTGACAAAAATATTTAATCTTCAGTTCAGCATGAACACTGTTACTCAGAATAGATAGGCATAGACAACTAGCACAGGCAGCACCATACTGGTTCATGCTGGTTAACTAGCATCTCTTTTTGTAGCCCTTTCTCAAATCTTTCACTGAATCTTGGCTGATGAAATAAATAATTATAAAAATGAAGCTTCAAGACTACTAGTGGGCAATACAGGTGAATATTATATAATTGTGGCAGAAAGAAAGCATTTTCTTTTTCTTTCTTTCTTTTTTTTTTGGAGACAGAGTCTCACCCTGTCACCAGGCTGGAGTGCAGTGGTGCAATCTCGGCTCACTGCAACCTCCAACTCCTTGGTTCAAGCGATTCTCCTGCCACAGCCTCACAGGTAGCTGGGATCACAGGCACACGCTACCACCCCCAGCTAACTTTTGTATTTTTAGTAGAGACAGGGTTTCACCGAATGTTGGCCAGGATGGTCTCAATCGCCTGATCTTGTGATCCACCGGCCTCGGCCTCCGAAGGTGCTGGGGTTACAGGTGTGAACCACCACGCCCAGCTGAAAGAAAGCACTTACTAAGCTTAATTCCCATGCAAGACATCATTATAGAAAAGATAAACTTAATTGCTGGTGCTGTGGCTCATGCCTGTAATCCCGGCACTTTGGGAAGTGGAAGTAGGTGAACGATTCAACGTCAGGAGTTCAAGACCAGCCTGGCCAACATGGCGAAAACCCCATCTCTACTAAAAATATAAAAATTAGCCAGGTGTGGTGGTGGGCACCTGTAGTCCTAGCTACTTGGGAGGCTGAGACAGGAGAATCACTTGAACCCAGGAGACAGAGGTTGCAGTGATCTGAGATCATGCCACTGCACTCCAGCCTGGGCAACAGAATGAGACTCCATCTTAAAAAAAAAAAAAAAAGAAAAAGAAAAGAAAAGATAAAGGCAATTAAATATGGTTTTAATATTTTTATTAATCTACTTTTTAAATTTTTTGTGGCTATGTAGTCCATATATCCATACTGCATATGGATATCCAGTATATATTTATGGGTACGTAAGATATTTTGATACAGGCATATAATGTATAATTCCATCAGGGTAAATGGGGTATCCATCACATCAAGCATTTATCCTTTCTTTATGTTACAAACCATCCAATTATACTCTTCTAGTTACTTTGAAATGTATAATAAATTATTGTTAAATGCAGCCATTCTGTTGTGTTATCAAATACTAGATCTTATTAATTCTAATTTTTTTTGTACCTGTTAGCCATCCCCACTGTCCTTCTACACTACTACCCCTCCTAGGCTCTGCTAACCATCATTCTACTCTCTACCTCCTTGAGTTCAAGTGTTTTAATATTTTTTAGCTCCCACAAATAAGTGAAAACTGTGTCTTTCTGTGCCTGGCTTATTTCACTTAACATAATGTTCTCCACTTCCATTCATGTTGTTGCAAATGACAGGATCTCATTCATCTCATCTCATTCTTTTTATGACTGAACAGTATTCCACTGTGTATATGTACCACATTTTCTTTATCCCTTCGTCTGTTGATGGATGCTTAGGTTGCTTCCAAATGTTCGCTATTTTGAATTGTGCTGCAATAAACATTCATGTGCAAGTATCTCTTTGATATGCTGATTTCCTTTATTTGGGTATATACCTAGCAGTGAGATTGCCGGATCATATGGTCATCCTATTTTTAGTGTTTTGAGGAACGTCCAAACTGGTCTCCATAGTGGTCGTGCTAATTTACATTCCCACAAACAGTGTACGAGGGTCCCTTTTCTCCACATCCTTTCCAGCATTGGTTGCTGCCTGTCTTTTGCATAAAAGCCATTTTAACTGGAATGAGATGATATCTCACTGTAGTTTTGATTTGCATTTCTCTGATGATCAATGATGCTGAGCACCTTTCATATACCCATTTGTCATCTGTATCTTTTAAGAAATGTCTGGGGGTGGGCGACAGGAAAAAATTAAATAAATTTAAAAAAAAAAGAAATGTCTGTTCAGATCTTTTGCCCATTTTCAAATTGGAGTGTTAGATTTTTTTCTTATTGAGTTGTTTGAGCTCCTTCTATATTTTCTGATTAGGAATCCCTTGTCAGATGGCAAATATTTCTCCATTCTGTGGGTTGTCGCTTCACTTTGCTGATGGTTTCCTTTGCTGTGCAGAAGCTTTTTTCATTTGATGTCATCCCATTTGTCCATTTTTGCTTTGGTTGCTTGTGTCTGTGGGGTATTACTCAAGAAATCTTTGGGCCAGGCCACTCACACGTGGTGGGGAACATCACGCGTGCTTTGTTGTTAATGTTTGCACCCCCGACACCAATACAGGTGGAAGAGGCCTTTTGACTACAGCTTTTGTCTTCCTGTTAAATCTCTCCTCGTGTGGCCCAGTGCTGTGTGCGCTCCTGTGGGACACCCTGCCATCAGACCCAGACTGTTAATGTTATTGTTGGGAAAGACAAACAAGGCAGAAAGATTCCAGAATATCTGATCCATTGTAATGGTTGGAACAGAAGCTGGGATAAATGGGCTGAAGATCATGTTTTTTGTGATACCGATGAAAATCATAGATTACAGCATAAATTGGCAAGAAAAACTGTAGCTCACCTGAGGAGCACAGGAAGAAAGAAGAAGTGCTGAAGGTTGCCTGGTGTCGATTGACTCTGTCTTAAAAGGCCTCTCAACTGAAGAAAAAGATGAAAGTGATGAAAAGTCATTAAGCAGTTCCTCTGACAGCAGCAAAGACAGGATAAAGAAATAAGTAAAGAAAGTGTTATTGAAGAAAAGACTGGAGTGAAAAAACCAGAGCTACAAACAAAAAGAGAAATGGAAGAAAGAACAATAAATCCCTGAAGTTCTGAGGCAGCAGGAGGATGATTGTTATTACATTAACAGGAGGAAATGCT